TGCAACAATCAAACTTAAAGTGTAACTCCACTTTTGTTGAGAAAGAAAACACTCCTCTAGATATTGTATTTAGAGATGAGCGAATCGAACATGGCGAAGTGGAATTCGTTTCGAAGATCAGGAAAAATTCGATTCGCGCCGAATCCGAAACTTAGCAAACTTCGGATGCACGAATCGAATTTTCTCAAAAATGGCGGCGACATGTGTGGCGACGGAGCGGGGATCTCTGGGAAGGCGCGCAGACAAGGCGCGCTGACCCATAATGCATTCATTCATGACGTGATCGCATTAGCCAATCAGCAGCCAGCCAGCCAGCACTGTGTAATGGTGGAGCTATAAATTGCGGCCATCTTACAATTTCTCCATTAGCCTCCGGTCATTCAAGAGAGACAGACCTGTCTGTATTTAGGGACAGAGTTAGGGCCAGAGAGACTTTAGGGCCACAGAATCGTTACTTAGGGACACAGAATCGTTACTTAGGGACACAGAATCGTTACTCAGGACACAGAATTGTTACTCAGGGACACAGAATTGTTACTCAGGGACAGACACAGAATTGTTACTCCAGGGACACAGAATTGTTACTATCGGGGACACAGAATTGTTACTGAGGGACACAGAATCGTTACTGAGGGACACAGAATTGTTACTCAGGGACACAGAATTGTTACTCAGGGACACAGAATTGTTACTCAGGGACAGACACAGAATTGTTACTCAGGGACACAGAATTTGTTACTCAGGGACACAGAATTGTTACTGAGGGACACAGAATTGTTACTCAGGGACACAGAATTGTTACTCAGGGACAGACACAGAATTGCTACTCAGGGACACAGAATTGTTACTGAGGGACACAGAATTGTTACTGAGGGACACAGAATCGTTACTCAGGGACACAGAATTGTTACTCAGGGACACAGAATTGTTACTCTCAGGGACACAGAATTGTTACTGAGGGACCACAGAATCGTTACTCAGGGACACAGAATTGTTACTCAGGGACACAGAATTGTTACTGAGGGACACAGAATCGATACTCAGGGACACAGAATCGTTACTCAGGACACAGAATCGTTACTCAGGGACACAGAATCGTTACTGAGGGACACAGAATCGTTACTCAGGGACACAGAATCGTTACTCAGGGACACAGAATTGTTACTCAGGGACACAGAATTGTTACTCAGGGACACAGAAATTGTTACTGAGGGACACAGAATCGTTACTGAGGGGACACAGAATTGTTACTCAGGGACACAGAATTGTTACTCAGGGACACAGAATTGTTACTCAGGGACAGACACGAATTGTTACTCAGGGACACAGAATTGTTACTCAGGGACACAGAATTGTTACTGAGGGACACAGAATCGTTAACTCAGGGGACACCGAATTGTTACTCAGGGACACAAGAATTGTTACTCAGGGACAGACACACAGAATTGTTACTCAGGGGACACAGAATTGTTACTCAGAAAACACAGAATTGTTACTCAGGGACACTGAATCGTTACTCAGGGACACTGAATTGTTACTCAGGGACACAGAATTGTTACTCAGGGACACAGAATCGTTACTGAGGGACACAGAATTGTTACTCAGGGACACAGAATTGTTACCAGGGACAGGGACACAGAATTGTTACTCAGGGACACAGAATTGTTACTCAGGGACACAGAATCGTTACTGAGGGACACAGAATCGTTACTGAGGGACACAGAATTGTTACTCAGGGACACAGAATTGTTACTCAGGGACACAGAATTGTTACTCAGGGACCAAGACACAGAATTGTTACTCAGGGACACAAGAATTGTTACACAGGGACACAGAATTGTTACTGAGGGACACAGAATCGTTACTCAGGGACCACAGAATTGTTTACGCAGGGAAACAGAATTGTTACTCAGGGACAGACACAGAATTGTTACTCAGGGACAGACACAGAATTGTTAACGCTCAGGGACACAGAATTGTTACTCAGGGACCACAGAATCGTTACTGAGGGACACAGAATCGTTTACTCAGGGACACAGAATTGTTACCTCAGGGACACAGAATTGTTACTCAGGGACACAGAATTGTTACTTTACTACTTGGACATCAGACACAGAATTGTTACTCAGGGTGACACAGAATTGTTACTCAGGGACACAGAATCGTTACTGAGGGACACAGAATCGTTACTCAGGGACACAGAATTGTTACTCAGGGACACAGAATTGTTACTCAGGGACACAGAATTGTTACTCAGGGACACAGAATTGTTACTGAGGGACACAGAATCGTTACTCAGGGACAGAATTGTTACTCAGGGACACAGAATTGTTACTCAGGGACACAGAATTGTTACCTCAAGGACACAGAATTGTTACTGAGGGGACACAGAATCGTTACTGAGGGACACAGAATCGTTACTGAGGGACACAGAATCGTTACTCAGGGACAGACACAGAATTGTTACTCAGGGACCACAGAATCGTTACTCAGGGACACAGAATCGTTACTCAGGGACACAGAATTGTTACTCAGGGACACAGAATCGTTACTCAGGGACACAGAATCGTTGAATTAAAGAGTATGTCAGACAACACGCAGAGGAGTGGCAGAGGAGGCAATGTTTCAGAAGCGAGCAGACGTGGCAGCAGAGGAAGGGGTCGAGGCCAGCACTAGTCGCAGCCAGAGGCCAGTGCTCCCGGTGTCATCCAGCCGGTCGTGTCTCCACCGACAACCCTGCCGTCATCGATTGGTTGGCTCGGTTGTCTTCCTCTTCCCAGGTACACCTCTGACACCTACAGCCAACGGTCGGTGGGTACGTCAGACACAACCGTTAGTTGGCATGGCCCGGGAGCAAGCCCACTGAAATCACGTGTCCTCTACCTGCCCCTGTCCTTTGGTGTTCCCTCACCAAGCGAAGTATCGCATGCTGTGGGACCATCAGCCCCACTGTACAGTGAGGAAGAGCTAACAGAGGGCGGTCAGGAACGGGGAGGAGACATCCGCCTCTTCAGCAGCCAGGTGCGAAGAAGTACTGGCGAGGAGAGTGGCTCGGTAGCCGGTCTAGAGACAGGTCTGTCTCCTGACCCACACACGCAGCCGAGGGGGCTAGTAGTGAGGCGGAGACCCTAATTGATGATGATGAGGCTGATCACACTTTGGCAGCCTCGTCGTCATCTGCCAGGCCCGTAATCTGCCATGGGCCCCCGTACCGACTCCTCATGCTGCTGCCAGGCCCGTAATCTGTCATGGGCCCCCCGTACCGACCTCCTCATGCTGCTGCCAGGTCCAGAGTGTGTCATGGGTCCCTGTAACGGCCTCCCATTGCTGCTGTCTCCATCGCCACACTCTGCCATGTGCCACTTTCAGGTCTCCTCACACTGCTGGTGGGTTCCATTTTGTCATAGGGTGCTGGCAGATTACGGGCCTCCCATTGCTGCTGCCAGGCCCGTAATCTGCCATGGGCCCCCGTACCGACTCCTCATGCTGCTGCCAGGCCCGTAATCTGTCATGGGCCCCTGTACCGCCTCCTCATGCTGCTGCCAGGTCCAGAGTGTGTCATGGGTCTCTGTACGGCCTCCCATTGCTGCTGTCTCCATCGCCACACTCTGCCATGTGCCACTTTCAGGTCTCCTCACACTGCTGGTGGGTTCCATTTTGTCATAGGGTGCTGGCAGATTACGGGCCTCCCATTGCTGCTGCCAGGCCCGTAATCTGCCATGGGCCCCCGTACCGACTCCTCATGCTGCTGCCAGGCCCGTAATCTGTCATGGGCCCCTGTACCGCCTCCTCATGCTGCTGCCAGGTCCAGAGTGTGTCATGGGTCCTGTACGGCCTCCCATTGCTGCTGCCAGGCCCGTAATCTGCCATGGGCCCCCGTACGACTCCTCATGCTGCTGCCAGGCCCGTAATCTGTCATGGGCCCCTGTACCGCGCCTCCTCATGCTGCTGCCAGGTCCAGAGTGTGTCATGGGTCCCCTGTACGGCCTCCCATTGCTGCTGTCTCCATCGCCACACTCTGCCATGTGCCACTTTCAGGTTCCGGACTCACACTGCTGGTGGGTTCATTTTGTCATAGGGTGCTGGCAGATTACGGGCCTCCCATTGCTGCTGCCAGGCCCGTAATCTGCCATGGGCCCCCGTACCGACTCCTCATGCTGCTGCCAGGCCGTAATCTGTCATGGGCCCCTGTACCGCCTCCTCATGCTGCTGCCAGGTCCAGAGTGTGTCATGGGTCCCTGTACGGCCTCCCATTGCTGCTGCCAGGCCCGTAATCTGCCATGGGCCCCCGTACCGGCTCCTCATGCTGCTGCCAGGCCCGTAATCTGTCATGGGCCCCTGTACCGCCTCCTCATGCTGCTGCCAGGTCCAGAGTGTGTCATGGGTCCCTGTACGGCCTCCCATTGCTGCTGTCTCCATCGCCACACTCTGCCATGTGCCACTTTCAGGTCTCCTCACACTGCTGGTGGGTTCCATTTTGTCATAGGGTGCTGGCAGATTACGGGCCTCCCATTGCTGCTGCCAGGCCCGTAATCTGCCATGGGCCCCGTACCGACTCCTCATGCTGCTGCCAGGCCCGTAATCTGTCATGGGCCCCTGTACCGCCTCCTCATGCTGCTGCCAGGTCCAGAGTGTGTCATGGGTCCCTGTACGGCCTCCCATTGCTGCTGCCAGGCCCGTAATCTGCCATGGGCCCCCTTCAGTACCGACTCCTCATGCTGCTGCCAGGCCCGTAATCTGTCATGGGCCCCTGTACCGCCTCCTCATGCTGCTGCCAGGTCCAGAGTGTGTCATGGGTCCCTGTACGGCTCCCATTGCTGCTGTCTCCATCGCCACACTCTGCCATGTGCCACTTTCAGGTCTCCTCACACTGCTGGTAGGTTCCATTTTGTCATAGGGTGCTGGCAGATTACGGGCCTCCCATTGCTGCTGCCAGGCCCGTAATCTGCCATGGGCCCCCGTACCGACTCCTCATGCTGCTGCCAGGCCCGTAATCTGCCATGGGCCCCTGTACCGCCTCCTCATGCTGCTGCCAGGTCCAGAGTGTGTCATGGGTCCCTGTACGGCCTCCCATTGCTGCTGTCTCCATTGCCACACTCTGCCATGTGCCACTTTCAGGTCTCCTCACACTGCTGGTGGGTTCCATTTTGTCATAGGGTGCTGTATGGCCTCCCATTGCTGCTGCCAGGCCCGTAATCTGCCATGGGCCCCCGTACCGACTCCTCATGCTGCTGCCAGGCCCGTAATCTGTCATGGGCCCCTGTACCGCCTCCTCATGCTGCAGCCAGGTCCAGAGTGTGTCATGGGTCCCTGTACGGCCTCCCATTGCTGCTGTCTCCATCGCCACACTCTGCCATGTGCCACTTTCAGGTCTCCTCACACTGCTGGTGGGTTCCATTTTGTCATAGGGTGCTGTATGGCCTCCCATTGCTGCTGCCTCCACTGCACACTGTGGCTCCACACTCTGGTTTTGGCCCCGTGACTGCCCAAATGAGTGAAGTGTGCAGTGATTCTAAGAAATTAAAGGTACAGTGTTCTGCACTAATATAAAGGCTCTCTGAAGCCTAGAAACACCCTTTTTATAAGTTAAATTCGCAGCGAATATATTTGACTCGAATCGAATTTATTCCGCGAATTCGCCGAATCAGCGAATCGAATTTTTGAATAATTCGCTCATCTCTAATTGTATTGTATGCATTGTATTGTAATATAGTATAATGTATGTTCATTGCAAGGGTTTTAACAAACTTTGTTGCAGATTTCTAGCTTTTTTCATTCTGTTTTTGTTGGCATCTTCGCCATTTCAGCAGGAACCGACTGAGTCAAACCAGGTATGGGCAGGCTGTATGTGCTGAAGTTGATTGATTGATCGATCAACTTGGGTACAACCAGCCTGTTGGTTTTTACATGCTATAACAGCTGCTAGCAGTAAGTACTGTGTTCACAATGTCACTGTGAACACATTAGCTCCCCAGGAGGGATTCCCTTGTAAACACTGACTGTGTTGATGGGGTAATCAAGCTATTTTCTTTCCTTGAGTGCAGGAAAGAAAATCGCTTTGTCTAGGGCCAGCTTAAGTCTATGTGTGGGGCGGCCCAAGAAAATGTTTGCCCATGGTCCAAGTACTAGACACTGTTAAGTGTGAGGACTTTTTGATTGTTTTATGCCCTGATTGCATAACCTATATTCTCATTCTGTCCTGTTGAGTCCCACAGGCTGCCGACCTGAAAAGAGATCCACAGTGACAGCTCCTGTTTTACCTTATAAAGCCTGAACAACTGCACCACAACTGCATGCACTGTACGCAGTTACAGGGCAGTAGCAGCAAGGCCCCATTGGCTTGAATGAGTCACATTTGGTGGTAGTACCTTCCGCCAAATGTAACTGGGTAAACATTTTTGCCTTGCCTTGGCTGTAAAGTAAAGCAGCATGCCCACAGAATGTGCTGATCGCCCTATTTTTGCCATTAAGCTTAAGGGGCGGTTGGGGTGCAGTCAACTGCCTATTCTTATCATTCTTGACTGCAAGTGTAGATGAGCCCTTACTTCCTAGAAAGCATGGTTTTCATATACTGCAATGATGATCGCCAAATAGCTTGAATCAGCTGTGTGCAGTTTGGGATAAATGGCTTTATAATATCAGGCTATATTTGCAAAATACACTTGAGATTCTTGATGTGCAACTGGGCAGAGGGGGAGAAAAGCAATAGTTTGTATGGCTCTGCCCACAGTGCTGATATGAGGAATAATCTTCTTATTTTTGGGATATGTGATGGAAAAAGACATGTAAATTCCTTCTGTTTTAAGAAAACTTTACTGTGCTACCACTGTCCTTTCAAAACTGATCTGGTTCATTATAATCACCCGATGCACTTTCAGTGTTCTAATGAGGAGCATTGCAGTGTAGAAAATGACATTTTTGGGGGTGTCATGTACACCAACGGTGTACAGAATGCCTCCAGGTTGTCAAATTGCAATGTATTTTACAGCTTGATAGTTTTGGAAAATTACAGCAGCTTCAGATCAATGAAAGTGGATTTCCACTTTAACCTTTCACTGAGCTGATTCCTTGCCTTGAAATCTGAATGGTTGATAAGTTAGTCTCCTTTCATGTGGCCATTCTGATCAGATCCGCCTACACTTTTTCCTGATCAGAAGTTCCATGCAGCCTTATGGACAGATGGGTGTTGTGGGGTTTAAATAGAAATGAAAGCGGACTTAATTTTTATCATAGTAGATCTTTAGGAGCCGCAGAGTTTCAAGGTAATACTTCTGCAGGTTAAGTATTTAACAAAGTTGAGGAATCGGTGATATAGAGCTCCTATAACCTGTATTTCCTGATGATCAGTGCTATATTTTAGAGTTTCTCATCCAGTGGTTTCTGATTTCTAGGAGGGATTTCTACCGGATTCAAGTACGCATCTGCTTGTTCTAATAGATAACAGTCTAGTTTTAGTAAATAATAAATTATGTATTAGAACCATGACGCAAAAGCCTTTTTGTATCAACTCCAAATCTCTCCAAGTGTTTTTTTTTGTTGCTAGGAAAAATTATCTGCACTCAAAGAAAATCTGTGTCAAGGAGATTGCAGATGTGCAGTCACGAGTGTTTCATTTTCAGTTGCATTTGGAGCTAGCAGTAAACATTGCCTCTTATGTAGCTGATATGCAGCCCTGCTGCTGCTGCTGATGAGTATTTCCACCACAGATTGCATGTAAACTATATTGCTAAAAGTATTGGGACACCCCTCCAAATCACTGGATTCACGTGTTCCAATCACCTCCATGGCCACTGGTGTATAAAATAACCGAGGCATGAAGACTGCTTCTACAAACATTTGTGAAAGATTGGGTCACTCTCAGGAGCTCAGTGAATTCAAGCGTGGTACCGGGGTAGGTCGCCACCTGTGCAATAAGTCCATCCGTGAAATTTCCTTGCTACTAAATATTTCACGGTCAACTGTTAGTGGTATTATAACAAAGTGGAAGCAACTGGGAACAACAGCAACTCAGACACGAAGTGGTATGTCACATAAAATGACAGAGCGGGTTCATTGCATGCGGAAGCACACAGTGCTCAGAAGTTGCCAACTGTTTGTCTGCAGAGTCAATAGCTAAAGACCTCTAAACTTCGTGTGGCCTTTAGATTAGCACAACAGTCCATAGAGAGCCTCATGGAATGGATTTCCATGGCCGAGCAGCTGCATCCAAGCTTTACATCACCTAGTGCAATGCAAAGCATTGGATGCAGTGGTGTAAAGCACGCTGTCACTGGACTTTAGAGCAGTGGAGACATGTTCTCTGGAGTGACAAATCAGGCTTCTCTGTTTGGCAATCTGATGGAAGTGTTTGGGTTTGGCATTTGCCAGCAGAATGGCACCTGCCTGACTGCATTGTGCCAAGTGTAAAGTTTGGTGGAAGGTAGATTATGGTGTTGGGTTGTTTTTTGGGGGTTGGGCTTGGCCTCTTTAATTCCAGTGAAGGGAACTCTTAAGACATCATCATACCAAGACACAGGGAGCTAATGTGTTCACAGTGACATTATGAACACAGTACTTACTGCTAGCAGCTGTTATAGCATGTAAAAACGAACAGGCTGGTTGTACCCAAGTTGATCGATCAATCGATCAACTTCAGCACATACAGCCTGCCCATACCTGGTTTGACACTCAGTTGGTTCCTGCTGAAATGGCGAAGAATCCAACAAAAACAGAATAAAAAAAACTAGAAATCTGCAACAAAGTTTGCAATGAACATACGATATACTACAGTCAAGTCCATAAATATTGGGACATCGACACAATTCTAACCTTTTTGGCTCTATACACGACCACAGTAGATTTGGAAAGAAAAAACAAGATGTGCTTTAACTGCAGACTGTCAGCTTTAATTTGAGGGTATTTACATCAAAATCAGGTGAACGGTGTAGGAATTACAACAGTTTGCATATGTGCCTCCCACTTGTTAAGGGACCTAAAGTAATGGGACAGAATAATAATCATAAATCAAACTTTCACTTTTTAATACTTGGTTGCAAATCCTTTGCAGTTAATTACAGCCTGAAGTCTGGAATGCATAGACATCACCAGACGCTGGGTTTCATCCCTGGTCATGCTCTGCCAGGCCTCTACTGCAACTGTCTTCAGTTCCTGCTTGTTCTTGGGGCATTTTCCCTTCAGTTTTGTCTTCAGCAAGTGAAATGCATGCTCAATAAGATTCAGGTCAGGTGATTGACTTGGCCATTGCATAACATTCCACTTCTTTCCCTTAAAAAAACTCATTGGTTGCTTTTGCAGTATGCTTTGGGTCATTGTCCATCTGCACTGTGAAGCGTCGTCCAATGAGTTCTGAAGCATTTGGCTGAATATGAGCAGATAATATTGCCCGAAACACTTCAGAATTCATCCTGCTGCTTTTGTCAGCAGTCACATCATCAATAAATACAAGAGAACCAGTTCCATTGGCAGCCATACATGCCCACGCCATGACACTACCACCACCATGCTTCATTGATGAGGTAGTATACTTAGGATCATGAGCAGTTCCTTTCCTTCTCCATACTCTTCTCTTCCCATCACTCTGGTACAAGTTGATCTTGGTCTCATCTGTCCATAGGATGTTGTTCCAGAACTGTGAAGGTTTTTTTAGATGTCGTTTGGCAAACTCTAATCTGGCCTTCCTGTTTTTGAGGCTCACCAATGGTGTACATCTTGTGGTGAACCCTCTGTATTCACTCTGGTAAAATCTTCTCTTGATTGTCGACTTTGACACACATACACCTACCTCCTGGAGAGTGTTCTTGATCTGGCCAACTGTTGTGAAGGGTGTTTTCTTCACCAGGGAAAGAATTCTTTGGTCATCCACCACAGTTGTTTTCCGTGGTCTTCCGGGTCTTTTGGTGTTGCTGAGCTCACCGGTGCGTTCCTTCTTTTTAAGAATGTTCCAAACTGTTGTTTTGGCCACGCCTAATGTTTATGCTATCTCTCTGATGGGTTTATTTTGTTTTTTCAGCCTAATGATGGCTTGCTTCACTGATAGTGACAGCTCTTTGGATCTCATCTTGAGAGTTGACAGCAACAGATTCCAAAAGCAAATAGCACACTTGAAATGAACTCTGGACCTTTTATCTGCTCATTGTAATTGGGATAATGAGGGAATAACACACACCTGGCCATGGAACAGCTGTGAAATCAATTGTCCCATTACTTTTGGTCCCTTAACAAGTGGGAGGCACATATGAAAACTGTTGTAATTCCTACACCATTCACCTGATTTGGATGTAAATACCTTCAAATTAAAGCCGACAGTCTGCAGTTAAAGCACATCTTGTTCGTTTCATTTCAAATCCATTGTGGTGGTGTATAGAGCCAAAAATGTTAGAATTGTGTCGATGTCCCAATATTTATGGACCTGACTGTATATTACAATACAATACATACAATACAATTTCTAGAGGAGTTTGTTCTTTATCAACAAAAGTGGAGTTACACTTTAAATTTGATTGTTGCAGATTACTGCAAGAGGCCAATATCATGCTCTGTTG